GGAGTGCAATGGCGCGATCTCGGCTCACCGCAACCTCCGCCTCCCGTGTTCAGGCAATTCTCCTGCCCCAGCCTCCTGAGTCGCTGGGATTACAGGCACGCGCCACCATGCCCAGCTAATTTTTTGTATTTTTAGTAGAGACGGGGTTTCACCATGTTGACCAGGATGGTCTCGATCTCTTGACCTCGTGATCCACCCGCCTCGGCCTCCCAAAGTGCTGGGATTACAGGCTTGAGCCACCGCGCCCGGCCGCTTATACTTACGATTTTGGCCATAGTTTCACAAATATATGATCATATCAAAACGCATCAAATTTTACAACCTAAATATGTGTGGGTTATTGTATATCAATTTGTTTTTATTTTTTGAGACGCAGTCTCGTTCTGTTGCAGAGACTGGAGTGCAGTGGTGCGAATTCGGCTCACTGCAACCTCTGCCTCCCGGCTTCAAGCGATTCTCCTGCCTCAGCCTCCCCAGTAGCTGGGACTACAGGCGCCCGCCACCATGCCCTGCTAATTCTTTTTTTTTTTTTTTTTTTTTTTTTAGTAAAGAAGGGGTCTCATCGTGTTAGCCACGCTGGTCTGGAACGCCTGAGTCGTCCTCCCAAAATGCTGGGATTACAGGTGTGAGCCACAGCGCCCGGCTGTGTTACAGTATGTCAATTTTTACCTCCATTACTGTTAAAGGCAGTTAAAACCCAGCCCGTATTCCCAGGCTGGTTTTGCTTTTGTTTTTAGGGACGGGGACGGAGTTTCGTTTTTTTTGCCTAGGCTGGAGTGCAATGGTATGATCTCGGCTCACTGCAACCTCCGCCTCCCGGGTTCAGGCGATTCTTCTGCCTCAGCCTCTCTAGTAGCTGGGACTACAGGCGCGCGCCACGACACCCAGCTAATTTTTGCATTTTCAGTAAAGACAGGGTTTCAGCATGTTGGCCAGGATGGTATCGCTCTCCTGACCTCCTGATCCGCCCGCTTCGGCCTCCCAAACTGTTGGGATTATAGGCGTGAGCCACCGCACTGGCCCCTTTTTTTTTTCTGTAGGGTTGAAAAAAAAACAAATTCCCATTCACCCCGCCCTCCACTCCTCACTAACCACGGGAAACCCCACCCAACACCATCCACCGGGCCTCTCCCAGCCATTCTAATCCCGCCAGCAGGGTGTCTTCTGTCTGCCGCCCGCTAGAGAGCGCGTACAGAGGAGGTCAAAGCCTTTGGCTCTCTAGCTCAACTGCAACGACTGCATGAACTTCCGGCTACAAGCCATTCCGCTTCCCAGGGAACGCATGGGCTGTTGTACGGGTTCCGTAGGGGACTCTGAAGGCTGAGGATATCCGGCCCGGAGCGTCCGTGCAACGCGGAGTTAGGCGCCCGGGCAGCTGCTTAGGGGAGGTGGACCAGACTTGCTGCTGCTTGGGACGGTCCTTTCGTTTCCACTGGAGTGGAGGGGAGAGTGCTGCCATGGCAGCCCCTGCGCAGCCCAAGAAGATCGTGGCCCCTACGGTGTCCCAGATCAACGCGGAGTTCGTGACCCAGGTGAGCTGGGGCGAGTGTGGTGTGTGTGAGTGGGTAAGGAGGTCGTGGCCCCGAGGCCTGGTGGTGGGTTTTTTTTTTCCGGGACTAGGACCTCCGAGGAGGCATTCGTTTGTTAATTCATTCACACAAGTCTTTTTACTGGGTATTAGCTCTGTGCCAACCACTAATGCCAAGTGCTGGGCATACCCTGGTGAAAGAGGCTGCCTTGACCAGAACTCCATGGCTCAAGGAGGACAGACATATAAAAAGAAAACTATATGAGGTTGGCTGTATTGGAGTTTGTCTCAGGAGCAGCTGATTCAGAGAGGGGGGGAACAGCCCGTTTCATCTGAGACTGGCAAGTAGGCTTCTCAGCAGAGTGATGCTGGACTCCCTCTTCAAGTAGGAATAGTTTTTTTCCTGGTGTGTAGAGTGTCCTGGGTTTTTGAGCAGTGAAGAGAAACTGACAAGACACCTCCCAATAGATCCATCTAAGTGGAGAGTGATTCTGCAGTTTGAGAGCGTTCCTTTAGAATCTGTTTACTACGTTGTATTGTGAGCCACAGTTGGCTTTGGATAGGGAAACACAGCCCTGTGGTTGTCAGCAACATTCCTCATTCCTATTTATTTGAGAGTTGTGTAAGAGTGTAAGTAGTTCAACGTAGAAGTTATCATGTCCACCTGCTTCTTTATTCTTTATTCCTTGTCTCAGCAGATTTGCTAAGGCAGAACCCTAGGAGCAATTTTGAATCCTCCCTTTCCTTTAACCCGTACATTTCTACATTCTGAATATCTTTTGAATCTGTCGGTTGTTCTGCATCTTTGTCACCCTAAGCCGTGTTACCATTATTTTCCACCTGGACCAAGGTATCCTAATCTGTCATATTGTCTTTCTTCTTGCTCCCCTCTAGCTTATTCATGTTGCTTTCCAAGTGATTTCATACAAGTGCAAATCTCATCATGTCCCTTGCCTTCTTAAAACCTCTTCCTTCCTTTCTTTCCTTCCTTTTTTTCTTTCAAGATAGGGCCTCACTATGTTGCCCAGGCTGGTCTCCCACTGTTGGGCTCGAGTGATCCTTCCATCTCAGCCTCCCTTGTAGCTGGGACTGCAGGTGTGCACTGGGACTACAGGGACTACACTATGGCTGGCTGTCCTTAAAATCTTTAGCTGGACGCGGTGGCCCATGTCTGTAATCCCAGCACTTTGGGAGGCCAAGGCATGTGGGTCACATGAGGGCGGGAGTTCGAGACCAGCCTGACCAACATGGAGAAACCTGGTGTCTACTGAAAATACAAAATTAACCGGGTATGGTGGTGCATGCCTGTAATCCTAGCTACTAGGGAGGCTGAGGCAGGAGAATCACCTGAATCCGGGAGGCAGAGGTTGCAGTGAACTGAGTTCGCGCCATTGCATTCCAGCCTGGGCAACAAGAGCAAAACTTTGTAGCGCGTGTGCACACACACACACACACACACACACACGAAGGCCAGGAAGCTAGAATCTAAGAATGATATGAAAGGAAGACAGAGCATGTGGGGACCAGATTATTTACAGTTTTGGAATCTGAAGAAGTTTGGATTTTTTGCAATCTGGTGAATAATATTTTAGAAAGATCACTGTAGCTGAAGTGTGGAAAGTGGATGGGAATGAGGGAATAAAAGTTGTAACAGGGTTACCAGTTAGTTCAGGTAAAAGTAGTGCTCTGTACTATTAGAGAATGACGTATACTGAATATGTTCTGAAGCTAGAGGCAATAGAATTTGATGATTGCTTGTGTAGGGGTGGAGGAAAGAGACAAACTGAGAATAGTTTGAACAACTGGGTGAATGGTTTGGCCATTACTAAGATTGGGAAGACTAGAAGGAGAGATTGTTCTTTGAATAATATCAAGATTTCTGTTTTGGCCATGTAAAGTGTAAGATACCTAGTAGGTATTCAGTTAGAAACGTTGAGAAGGCAATTGAATGTGTCAGTCTAGAGCACATGGGTGAGATCTGGGCTTGAATATAAATTTGGGAGTTACTGACCCTAGATGATATTTAACAACACAGGATTGAATGAGATATCCTAGAGCACATTGTTTGTAAACATGGCATTTATTGTATCCTGGGTTAGATTGTGAGAACATGTCTGTTTTATTCCCCATGTACTCCCAGCACCTGGTATTGTACTAGGCACACGTTGTATGATGAGTATTTGTCAAATGAACACATAAGTTCATTATGAATTAATGAACAAATGTGCCAGATCATTAAGATATAGTGGGAGAAAGGAAGGTTCTCAGCAATCTTGGGCCATGGGTACAAGCATTAATGTCTAATATTTGCCAGAAACTGTTTAGGCACTTCCGGGCTAAGAAGGGTAATCTTTGCCTTCAAGGAGTTCACAGTCTATGGAAGGAGACTTTAAGAGACTTAAAAGAACTCGCCATAGTTTAATGTGAGAAATGCCAGATTGGGGTATGAGGGAAGTGCTTTGAGAAAAGAGCATAAAATGATTACTTTGTTGAAGGAAAGAATTTTCTCATTGAGAAAGTATCATTTGAGATGGACTTTGAAATTTAGAGAGGAAAGTGGGCGAATTGGTTTTCTAGGTAGAGGGGACATCTTGGGACTAGGTGTTTTTTTTTTTTTTTTTTTTTTTTTTGAGACTGAGTTTCGCTCTTGTTACCCAGGCTGGAGTGCAATGGCGCTATCTCGGCTCACCGCAACCTCCGCCTCCCGGATTCAAGCAATTCTCCTGCCTCAGCCTTCTAAGTAGCTGGGATTACAGGCATGCACCACCATGCCCAGCTAATTTTTTGTATTTTTAGTGGAGACGGGGTTTCACCATGTTGACCAGGATGGTCTCGATCTCTTGACCTCGTGATCCACCCACCTCAGCCTCCCAAAGTGCTGGGATTACAGGCGTGAGCCACCGCGCCCGGGCCTAGACTAGGTGTTTTCTTCTCATTTTTTCTTTTTAATTTAATTTCTGAGCATGTGGCATACCTAGCCAGAAAAGGTACTTTTAAAATTATTTATTGTATGAATGAGATCAAGAGGTTAAAATTTAGTTTTAAAAAGATTAGAGATCTAAACTTCGTGATGTCACCTTTTTATACCATTACATTTTTATTTCCTTTTTGTCTTTTAGCAAGGTTTACTTTAAACAGTTTATATTGTCATAGTTGTAGTAAGTGGGGAATGGAAAGTTTTTATTTTACATGAGACTAGAGAGTTTGAGGGAGGGCGGTATATATATACTGTGAGATACTGATATTTGAGACATTACACGTTAGATCCCAAGGGAAAGGAGAAGCTCAGAGAAGAGACATGATAGATGCTACATAAATGTTTGCTTATCTTTTTTTTTTTTTTTTGAGACAGGGTCTCGCTCTGTCTCCCAGGCTGCAGTGCAGTGATGCAGTCTTGGCTCATTGCAACCTCTACCTCTGGATTCAAGCAATTTTCCTGCCTCAGCCTCCTGCGTAGCTGGGACTATAGGCGCCCGCAACCACGCCTGGCTAATTTTTGTGTTTTTAGTAGAGATGGAGTTTCACCATGTTGGCCAGGCTGGTCTCCAATTCTTTTTTTTTTTTTTTTTTTTTTTTGGTTTCGCGTTTTGCTGGGATTACAGGCCTGAGCCACCGCGCCTGGCCATTGGTCTCCAATTCTTGACCTCAGGTGATCTGCCTGCCTTGGTCTCCCAAAGTGCTAGGATTACAGGTGTGAGCCACCATGCCCAGCTGGAAGGTGTCATTTAAGTAGGAAGTTACTGTAATGTTTTTAGAGGCTGTTCCTCAGGGCCAGCCTAACTGCTTGGGAGACTTTTTAAGTGTGTTGTCCCTGTTCATCGTTGAGCTATAAAAGCAAAGAAAACAGGTCCCATCTCTTAATTGTTCCAATTAAGTCAGAAGGAAAGATGGATAAGCAATCAAATATTCATAATATAGAAAGGTAAGATTATTAAGAGTTACATATAAAATGAAGAGAAGGAGAAAGCAGTTGTCACCATCAGGTAGTGTTGAGGACAGCTTCACAGAAGTAACATTTCAGATTTTACTTCATTTGTCCATCTATTTATCCATCAGACTTTATGAGTACCTCTTGATATGCCAGCCACTGCAGAGTAGTCACTTTTTTTTTTTTTTTGAGATTTTTCTCTCTTGTTGCCCAGGCTGGAGTGCAATGGCACGATCGTGGCTCACTGAACCTCCGCCTCCCAGGTTCAAGGGATTCTCCTGCCTCAGCCTCCCGAGTAGCTGGGATTACAGGCATGTGGCACCACACCTGGCTAATTTTGTATATTTAGTAGAGATGGGGTTTTTCTATGTTGGTCAGTCTCGTCTCAAACACCCAACCTCAGGTGATCCGCCCGCCTCAGCTTCCCAAAGTGCTGGGATTACAGGTGTGAGCCACCTCACCTGCCCTGCCTTTTTACAAATATATTAAGTTGTGCTTGCCAGTTTTCTATTTATTTTATTATTTATTTATTTATTTATTTTTGAGACGGAGTCTCCCTCTGTCTCCCAGGCTGGAGTGCAGTGTCACGATCTATTTTTAAAGAAATTATAATTGGTTTTTTTAAACGAAACTCTATGAATAAGACTATGCTATTTCTTTAAATATGTAGAGAAAATACATATATTTGTTTAAATTTCACAATTTACAGGTAAAGCCTAGTCTGCTGAAATATACCAACTCTTATATTCTCTGTAATAACCAGCTGATAGACTACAATTTGGTTTTTTTAGGTTTTGGTATGGATGTGAACTAATCATTTAGAGATGCATTATTTTAGAAAGTATTCATGAAGATTTTGAATATCATTTGTAATACTTGTTCAAATATTAACTGTAATCACAGGCAGATCATTTATTTTTTCTAGATTAGGGTTTCCTTATCACTTTGCTGAAGATGTTTGGCTTTGTGGTTATTAACTGGGCTGTGTTGTTTCCCTACGGGTGGTTGGAGAGGACTTTTTGTTTGTTTAAATCACAGCGGCATGTTGTGCAAAGCACTACTGGCATTTAGTGGTTTGGGGGTCAAGGATGCCAACTGGCCTGTATAGTCTGTATAGTCCCTTCAGATTTAGTCTGTTCCCCAGTGCCCAGTACTGCCCTGTTAACAAACAGCTTATCACTAAATGATCTGTCTTCTAGCTCTACAATGGCATAAGTCTGTGACTTACTGTTTATACTGTTTACTTTTGCAGTTAGCGTGTAAATACTGGGCTCCTCACATCAAGAAGAAATCACCTTTTGATATAAAGGTAAGTATTTTTGTTTGCAACATAATTCTTGAGAAGTTACACTCCTTTTAAAGGGTTATTTCAACAAAAGCTTTTCATGGTTTTTAAAAAATTAAAAACAGCCTAAGAATCTACAAAATATACAATTTTTGCTTATCAAACTTAACAATTACTCATGTTAGGAAATTTGGAAGATATGTAAACTATACATAAGAAAATAATCACTATCCGGAGATAACCTCTCATCATTTTGTTGTATTTTCTTTAAGCTTTTAAAAAACATGTTTATATGTAATTTACTTGTTTTTCTGTTTATAGATTCTTAGGTTGTTTTTAATTTATCATTATTATAAATGATCATGTAATAAATATCTTTGTAAATATACAGAAAGTTTTGTACTAGTTTTTTTTTTTTTTTTTGAGACAGAGTTTTGCTCTTGTTGTCCAGGCTGGAGTTCAGTGGCGTGATCTTGGCTCACCGCAACCTCAGCTCCTGGGTTCAAGTGATTCTCCTGCCTTAGCCTCCCAAGTAGCTGGGATTACAGGCATGCGCCACCATGCCCAGCTAATTTTGTATTTTTAGTAGAGACAAGGTTTCTCCATGTTGCCCAGGTTGGTCTCCAATTCCTGACCTCAGGTGATCTGCCCGCCTCAGCCTCCCAAAGTGCTGGGATTATAGGCATAAGCCACCATGCCTGGCTGTATAAATTTCTGACAGTTCATTTAGAATTGAATCTATTGTGTTATCTTTTTTTCAGAGTGGTAAATGAGGGAAAGGTGTATCATAAAGATGGAAGGAGTGGGAGTTGTATAGTATAATAACTAAAGTCCAGTAATATTCAATAAGGGAACTGAACTTATTCAATTGAGTAAGTCCAATTGAAGCAATGTAGAACAAATAATATGACAAATTCCAAATATGGGGTTAATTCTCACTGGAATAGGTTCTTAAAGAGAGGTCTAAGGCCAGGTGCGGTGGCTCATACCTGTAATCCTAGTGCTTTGGGAGGCCAAGGAGGGAAGATAATCTGAAGCCAGGAGTTTGAGACTAGACTGGACAGTAGTGAGACCTCGCCTCTACAAAAAGTTTTTTAAAATTGGCTTGGTGTGATGACTCACACATGTAGTCTCAATTGCCAGGGAGACTGAGGTGGGAGGATGACTGAGCCCAGGAGTTTGAGGCTGCAGTGAGCTATAATCAGGCTACTGCACTCCAGCCTGGGCAACAGAATGAGATCTTGTCTCTTAAAGAGAGTGAAGTCTTTAAATGAAATAGATATTGACATATTGCATGCCATTCAACAGGTAATGAAGACTTTTAAGCTCTGCTATTATAAATTTAATGATGATGCTTTAGACGCTCTTGGTAAAACTGAACTTTTTTACCTCAAATTTTTTACTTTATTTGAGCTTAAATCTTTACAAATATATATATTTTTTGCCAGTAATTGTTATTTAATTTGAAATTTGATGAAAGCAGTAACAGAATTTCATCTAGGTTGAACAAGACTTGCTTTCTTCATCACCTCCCTCTCTTTACCACCTACAAATACTTATTTCACAAATATACTTGGAGCAGTTAAAAGATACAGGCCAAGCACCATGGATCACACCTGTAATCCCAGCACTTTGGGAAGCTGAGGCAGCAGATCATTTGACCCCAGGAGTTCAAGACCAACCTGGGCAACTTGGTGAAACCCCATCTCTACCAAAAATACAAAAAAATTAGCTGGGTTTGGTGGTGTATGCCTGTGATCCCAGCTACTTGGGAGGCTGTGGTGGGAGGATAGTTGAGCCTGGAAGGCAGAAGTGAAGTTGTAGTGATCTGTGATTGCACTGCTGCACTCCAGCCTGGGTGACAGAGTAACACCCCATTTCAAAAAAAAAGAAAAAAGACATTATAGTTACCATACAGTAATATTATACCATGTTAAAGCACTTCATAATTTTATGGTAGGATTTTTTTAAAAAGTTAATGCCTAGCACTACTACAACTGCCTTTTTTTTTTTTTTTGGTGACGGAGTCTGTCTCTTGCCAGGCTAGAGTGCAGTGGCGTGATCTCGGCTCACTGCAACCTCTGCCTCCTGGATTCTCCTGCGCAGCCTCCCGAGTAGCTGGTACTACAGGCACGTGCCAGCAAACCCAGCTAATTTTTGTGTGTTTAGTAGAGATGGAGTTTCACCATGTTGGCCAGAATGATCTCTATCTCTTTACCTCGTGATCCACCCACCTCAGCCTCCCAAAGTACTGGGATTATAGG